CCCAAATTTAGTCACTGCCTAGTGCTTCAAACAGAGCCGTCCTCAGAAATGTTCTGGTTAGTGACATCAATGGATAACAGTTGCCATTTCTGACCTTCCTTCCAGCTAAGATGATGTGAAATGATTTGCTCACAGACTGTGCTACATCCTGCTGCCAGTAGGTAAATTTCATACCTTTACAACAACTGTTCTGTCAAGAATGTGTTTTGAACTATTTGAATTTTAAGGGGAAGCCAGGAGCAGAGGAAACAGAAATCCCTTCTAATTAAAGGCAAGTTCATTAACACTTTCATACATATGGATGAGCCATTTAAAGCAAGGTTAAGTGAGCAGCCTTGTGAAAAGATTTTTAATGTCAGGAATCTCATAAAAATTCCATATGCTGCACCAGCCAGTGCCCTTGACTCATTACCAGTGTCCTTCGATCCCTCGGATTAATCCCTCGGGTCACTAGCCTTAACAAGGTGAATATCATAGGTCCCCCATAAATGCCCCCCAGAACTAGATTCTAAACATAATGGAGAGGAAGAATGGTCATGGAAGAAGTTCAGAACACCATCAGGATGTAGCATTTCTACACTTAGGTATCTCAAGTCTTAACTATAGAGAGGGCAGGCAGAGCAAGACTGAAGCTGCAATTGGTGAAGATCCAGCTGGCCTTTGACTTATTTATTGACTTATTTATAAGTGCAGGAGATGTTTAATATTTTATTTTTATCTGTACTTAGACAAAATTATGAAATGGCCTTGTTTGTCTCACTTGGTTATGGCCTACGAGTGACCATGCCTAATGCCAATGTTGTATGTGAATGCTTACATCCTTATGTCCAACAGGAGACACAATGCCAGGCTGTGAGCACAGAACCAACAACTCCAAGGTTTGCCTGTGAATGTCCAACAAGCTCCCAGATATGAGGAGCTTCACCTTTAACAATGTGAAGATTTAAACTTTTTCTTAGGGAAAGTACAGATTATAAAGAATTATGACAGCTGTGGTTAGGTAGACAGGCTTCTACTTGGGATCCCGATGGTGGGCTGCTATGGTTTGGAACATAACAAAGGAAAGGCCTGGTACTAAGATTAGGATGTGGGGAAAGGAGACAATATATTCCATATGAGCTACACCTCTCAAGAAGAACGCGACATGTAGATCAGGCCCCTCCTAGAGCATGTTAAATGCGAGAACTGGCTCCATTGTAGTAAACCTGGCAAAGTTTTCCGGTTAGTAAAAGGTGTCAGTTGTCCACAGTATTTATCCAAGAATCTAAATGCCATTGGTATTCATTAGTGAGATAGATGTCTTCAGATCTTTGCAGTTGTATTTTTTTCTTTATAGCTGTTGAATGGCTATTAAAATCCTAACCATTGAAGTCTTACCTTAGATTCTGTTTCCAGCAGACATTAATCACAGTGCTGATAGCATCAAGTCTACATTAAACAGAAGGCAGAAATGCCAGCTGTGTCTTTAGCCCTCACATCCCAGTAATGCAGCCCACATGTAGAGCATATGAAAAAAAAAAGAAAGAAAACAGTACACGAAATCGTGCAGTTTCCTTTTTAAAAAATTTCATTTGGAAAAAAAGTCTAACCTTCCTTTCTTGTAAAGTCTGGAAGACCTATAGTGAAGAAGAATACGTATGGATACACAATGGGCAACTTGTCCCTAGTCTGTAACAATTCCTGAACATCTAAGATTATTCATGAAAATAAAAACTACTACCGTGTTTCCCTGAAAATAAGACATCCTCCAAAAATAAGACCTAGTGCATGAAAAGATAAGACATCCCCTGAAAATAAGACCCAGCGCAACTTTGGGAGAAAAAAATTAATATAAGACACTGTCTTATTTTCGGGGAAACAGGATACTTATATTTCCATGTAAAAATTCTCTAATGAGTATATTTTAAATTCCTTCAACAGTAACGTAAGGCATATTCTAAGTGTCAGGGTTAATTTAATTCAACGAATAAGGTTAGAATAATAACAAGTGTATGAGGCAGGGCCAAGGACCAGTGAACCCAGGCAAACCATCTCCCTCTTCACCAGGGATTCCTTCTGGTATTGGTCAGCATCCAAATGGCATCTCCAAATGCCACCATTATACCAAGAACCCATGAAACACATGGCTGTCACCTACACAGGTGATTTCATGCTGGCGGGTGACTCTCTACACAGCAGCACTGCCTCCCATAATGTTTGCAGGGCTCCACATTCTCACTATTTCCAGCCTTTGAGAGATTTAAATTTGCTATATTTTTAGAGTACATGTGGCCTGTCACTTAGCAGCATCACTGAAAGATAACATCTCAGTGATTACACAGGGCTGACGTTTTATTATTTGATATTAAAATCGCATCCGAAATCCCCAGCCTAATAAGCTCAAAATGAGCTTTAAAAATAAAGCACCTGGCAGATCTGATTGCAGTCACTCAAATGACATTTTGTTAGCTGGCAACTCATTATCAAGCTGGCACGGTTTCAACCCGCTGCCTTTCTAGGAATGGGATCCGTGTGCTCTCTATGAAGGTGATCAGGCCGGCCACGCTTCAGCTAGACACCCCATTTCACCTATTCTCACAAGGGTCTTCTGTTATGCAAACTAGTAGGAAAGCAATTACATGCTCCAAAAGATTAAGACTAGAAATTTCACATTCAGAGTATTGTCATTTTCGCCTCCTAAAATGTAAATTCTTATTAGATATTAAGATATATTTTTTCACATAATGTCACCTAATGATTGGAGGAAGCAACCCCTCAGAAAGGAATTCTGTCTCCCAAATTCAATGAGAGTCCAGAAGGTATCATGAGATGAAATACATGCTTCTTCAGCTTTTCAAGGCCACTTAGAGGCTGGATACTGGCTAGTACCAAGCTAAATGCTCTGAATGGACATGAATGAAGTTTGAGCAAAGAGCAACAGGACAGAAAAGAGGAATTTAAACAAGAGATACCCCCTCCCACCTCATAGCTTGAGGAGAAATTTCCATGGATGGAAATAAAGGGGAACAGCTCATACTACTCCATGCCAGAAAATGTGCCCCATGCTCCCACACAACAGAAGAACATGGTCACAACCTGTGCCAGATCTAATCTGGGACCCAACTGTAATTGAATTGACTAGCATTTAAGATGTTATTTATGAAAATGAAAACTGAAGCCGCAAGATGGTAATTTCCTATGGTGACAGTCAATAAGTGGGGATCTCAGTGGGAGATCCTCTACCCACTTCGGCCACTTCTCCTAGGATGGAGAGAAAAACCCTAGCAGAATAGTTTCCATTTAGGACCATGTCAGCCTCCTCACCCAAGCTGAAACCTGTCTTTATGTATTATTGTTATACAACATCTTAATAATATTGAAGCATATTAAGTAGCATTTTATAGTTAAACTAGAGGACCAGTGCACAAAAGTTGTGCATTGGTAGGGTCCCTAGAAGCTGACAGCTACTGGCCAGGACTCCCTCCCTTCTCCTGGCCAGCCCATTCCCTGGTTGAACTCCCAGATGACCTCCCAGGCAAGGGGACAATTTGCATACTATGCTTTTATTATATAGGGTAACTATATTTAAATGTTTAAAAATAAGCCAACTAAAATACAAGGGAAATTTTCCCGTGGTTAAGAAAGGAAGTCAGAGGAGAAGGGAAGGAGAAAATGAAACTGCCTTTGGTCTTGTCGAGAGGGCTCAGGCAAGGCTGAGGGACCCCCTCCAGTGCATGAATGTTGTGCCCCAGGCCTCTAGTTGTTATATAAAAGTTACCAATAAAACACACTTCCTGCAGACTGCCATGGCTCAGTGGTTGAGTATCGACCTATGAACCAGGAGGTCATGGTTTAATTCCTAGTCAGGGCACATGCCCAGGTTGCCGGCTTGATCCCCAGTTGGGGGTTGTGTAGGAGGCAACTGATCAATGATTCTCTCTCATCATTGATGTTTCTATCTCTCTTTCCCTCTCTCCCTCTCTGAAATCAATAAAAATATATTTAAATAAATAAGTTAATTATTTAAAACACACACACACACACACTTCCTCTTACCCCAGGGGGGAAGACACATACAAAGATAAGAAATATGTTTTAAAGACAAGACAAGTGATACTGGGTGATATCTGGAACTCAAGGGAAGGAAAGCTGATTCAGCCCCAGCAGAAGTTTGCAGGTGACATGGGAGACAGAGGAGAAGGCATCCATGGGAGAATACTGCATGAGCAGAACCAGGAGTCAAGCAAAACCGGGGAATTGGCCACCCGTGCTGATGGGTCAGGGACGCTCGTGGGAAATCATGCTGGCAGTATTCTAAAGAGCGAGCTAGTGCAAGGATAGAGACCCGGGCAGAAATGAAGCAGAGGAAAGAAAATGAACAGGCGCTGTTTTCAGACCACACCAGGAGGCAGTGCAGACAAAGACTGACTAGTAACCACTATGACTCTGATTATCAAAACTCACACACATAAAAAAAAAGCAGGACAATGCAGAACACATCTGGAAAATAAGTGATAGAACTTTTGAACATTCACACAGGCAGCTGCAGTTGCTATAACATAGTGTGCATGGAGTATGAATTTTACTGGAGGATAAAATTCTGAACAGAGAGCATTCGGTTTTTTATGTGCATTAAAACAGAAAAATATATCCCATTAACCTAAGAACCCAGTATTAAAAGATATGCAATATAGCCAAAGCTGTAGAATGACCTTTAATAAAGTGTTTAAAAAGATAATTAAGCTGCTATAAGATCAGGCCTGTTTTTAATTTTCTGTATTTCGCTTACTTGTGTGTGTTTTTTATTGTTCTACGATCGTGAAGTGCTCATAAAAAGGGGAAAGGGTATTTTTCAAACCCTGCCAAGAGTAAGTCTACAAAAAAAGTGTGTCATAAATGAGTGGAGGTCAATTACACGGACAAGTCAGCATATTCAGCAGACCAGCATTTGCTCAGTGCAAGCGAGAGTCAGAAGTCTGAGATTTCGGCGTGAAGGACCTACGGTGACGGCTGGTACCCACCTGGGTCACAGAGGCACTTGTAGCTGGTGCCCACGCTGCGGCAGGTGCCGTGAGCGCAGGGGCTGAGCGCGCAGAAGTCCACCAGCTGAGCACAGGCGGGGCCGGTGAAGCCGGCGCTGCAGCTGCAGCCAAAGCGCACCCCGTCGGCGTAGCAGGTCCCGTTGTTCTGGCAGGGCGATGAGGCGCACGGGTCCACCTTCTCTTCGCAGGCCGAGCCGAAGTACCCTGCCAGGACACGCAGACCCGGAGGATGGGTTAAACATTTTCAAACTGTATTTACACATAACAACTTGTAAACTTGTGAATTGATTGGCCAATTAGTCCATTAATAGTCTGCAGGTATAAACAAAGGAAGGTATGGCAGATTTTTCTTTTTAGTGTGGGTAATTGGGGGTTAAAATATTAAGTCCTGTGCTCCCAGTTTTGCAATATAAAATACGTTTGCTCAGATGTATAGACCTGCAGGGACATGAACACATTTACATATGCATACATATGTGTGTATCTACGTATTACTATGCAGGGATGGGGAACCTTTTTCCTATCAATGACCATGTGGATATTTATAACATCATCCGATTAATATAATTTACTTACTATAAATGTATGTTGAGGACACATATGTAACACCTTAAACAATAAAGAATTTTTTTTAAATGTATGTTGCTATAAAAACAAGCTCCTAGATTTATTGAATTTCAAGTCCTGCCTGTGGTTGCCTTGGCAGGGCCAGACCAAATGATTTTGCAAGACTTATGTGGCCTGTGGGCCAGATATTCCCCACCCCTGACCAGAGAGATGTCAAAAATATATTAACAGTGGATACCTTCAAGAAAGTGGGACTGGGGTCAGTGCAGGGCTTTCACCTCTTATTTTATACTCATTGCTGGGGAAAGATATTCCTCACTTTGCTTTAAAAGGTAAAGATATAATCCTGAATTTTAAAAATTAAACCTATGTAAAATAACACAATAAAAAACCTTTCTCCCATCTTTATTCCTTTGTCCCCCATTCCCTTCTCTAGAAGCAACCACTTTTGGCAGTTCTTGAATATATGTATATATATATTTTAAGTTGGTTATTACACTAATTACACTGTGGTATATCCATACTCTAGGAAATTATTCAGTAATGGAAAGGAACTAAGTTATGATTCATGACACACCATAAATCAACTTCAAAAAATTATGATTGGTGAAAGAAGCCAGCTACACAACATATAATGCATAACTTCATTTATAAGAAATGCCCAGAAAAAGCAAATCTAAAGATATAGAAAGTAAATCAGTGGTTGCTTGGGGCTGGGATGGGTTGACTTCAAATAGCCATGATGAGTCTGATATAAATGTTTTAATGTTAGATTGTGGTGATGGTTGTACAACTCCATGTATTTATTAAAATGCATCAAACTGTACTCTTAAAATGAATGATATCTATGATATGTAAATTATACTTCAATAAATGTTCTAAAATGTATTCATTATAAATGTGTTTAATTATATAGGTGATTTTTATTTTATTTGTGTGTGTGTGTGTTTCAATATTTCTCATTTTTAAAATGTTACATATTTATGTGTGTGAGTCTTTAGGCTTGTGTGTCCATGTAGATGTTTAACAATGCTTTAGGTAAAATCTATTTTTCTTTTAATATTTTAAGAGAAGTTTGAAAATTAAATGAAGATTCGAATTTTAGAAACAAGAGTTAAAGAATTTTACTCATATACAGTTTTTATTATAATATTCTATTTCATGGTTTTTATCTCCTTTAAATTTATATTTACCCATCTGCATGCAGAACTAAAAATCCTGGTAGTTTCTGTTGATATTGTTAAGGACATGGAGAATATACAAAAGTTGTTCCCAGACTTAATTATCTGAAGCATCATCCAAAAATTGGCATAATCAACATGATATTCTTCTGTCCAAAATAGAAAATTCAAAAATTATCTAATGCTACCCAACATTTTATAACATTTTGGGTAGTTTTTAATTTTAGAAATAATCCTAAGAATGTATTACACAATCAGTTTTAATAACACTTGAATTCTCCCAAGAGTCCCCTTACAGCCTAGAGTAGAATACAGTTCTATCCTTCATGAAATGTTTTCCATTTCATTCTGACTGCAAAGGAGTCACTTAAACACACCGTTATTACCATAGGACAAATTGAGCAACCAAAGCAAGTCCTGACCCTTCTAGTCTACTACTGCCCTGCCCCAGAAACAAGGCTGAAATTACTTTCTCCATAAAGTTGTTGTGAATTCTAAAAAGATATGTCAAAATTCTTAGAACAGCTCCTAGTCCAATGCTGAATGACTGAATAAAAATGGTAGTAAGAATACAAACAGCTGACATCCTCTGGGAGCTCCAAATGGGTTCAACCACATTCATAAACACATTCAAACTCCAAAACACAAAGAGCCCAATATAGGAGAGCAAATGGAATACTGCTTTATGAAATCTATAACAAAAACGTAAAATGCATAATTACTGAATGGCCAAATAGCAGAACAACTGTCTGGACGACCAAGCTAGACACACACTGGCGCCAGGCCAGCCAAGGCGGGTGCGATGGGATTGGTCGGGGGCCCTGCCATTGCCCCATGATCAACCAGCAGAGGGAGGTCCAGGACGATGGGGGAGGGGGTGCACAGCTCTGAGATCAATCACCCCAAAGAAGGAGGCCCAGGCTACTGGGCCAACAGCACTACAGTGGGTGGGCGGGGGCCTCCCTCTGCAGGGCAATCCATCATGGTGCTCCCACTTTGCAAGAGGAGCAAGCTGGGCTTAGGGAACCCCCTCCAAGTGCACGAATCTTGTGCACCAAGCCCCTAGTATTATAATATAAGTAAAAGATAACAATAGCAGTGTTTCTAAAATGACTAAAAGATTGATAAATTAGCCATACTGGAGAAATAATATGTAGTCCTAACTGGAAGCTAACATATTTGAATTAATAATCTCAATTGAAGGTAGAAAATAAAAAAACTATTTGATAAGTTAACCAAAAAAATGCATTGAGAATAATGAAGATAGTGGTATTTCTTGTTTGGAATACTTTATTTCAAGTCATACAAACCTCATACGATGGACATCAGGAAATATTAAAATGAAAATACCAGAGCTCCAGAGAGAAACTCAAACATATGGGAGAAATACCAACAGTGGAGAGCTTTAAAAACAACTCACTGTAATAAGGGGAAGTTTAGAAAAGGATGAAGTATTAAAGGATTAAAATGGAGAATAAACAAAACAGAGCTACAAAGGAAATCTCTAAGGAATGCAGGGAAAATGCAAAAAAAAAAAAAAAAAACACCAACAACTATAATTTACTTAGTTGATGTTACTTCAAGTTTTATATTTGAACCAGTATTTATATATGCTGGCTGACCATTTATTCTGTAAATAAAAAAGAAATCAGCACCCTTGAGATATACACATTATGGAAATCACATATTTAAGACCCAAAGAAAGCACTTCTGGAAGACTTTAAATTATACAACAATAGAGTTACTCTATGGGGAAAGCTATCTAGATGCCAGAAGTGTCTGGTTGGGGGAATATGGAATAAAGTAATAATAGAATTTTTGCTAACCCTGTAAAGATCATTTTATATAGAAGGAATGATACGTATGGGCACTTAAAACCGAACTCATGATTTCACTGTCTTGGCAAATGGTTCCAGTCAGACATTTAGAAACTATACCTGATTGCTTCTTGTCCCTTAACCCCCATAACTAACCAGTCAGTGGATAGTAACAGGGTCTATTTCCAAAACAGTTTGTGAATCCAGATGTTTTATATCATCTCACCACCACTGTTCTAGTCAATTATCTTTCCCTTCATCTATTGTAAGTTTCCTCTGGAGAGCATTCCTGTTATATTTTACCCCTATAACCCATTTCCCAAATAGCAATGAAAATGATTTTCTTAGAATGTAAATACCATCATCACTTCTTCCTTCCATGGGCAACAAGTCCTACCGGCCTTGACTCAGCTGACCACTCTGAGCCCTCTCTTTCCAGGAGCTGGCCATGCTGCCTTCCCTTCAGTTCCCAGAAATGACAAGCCATCTCCCACCTGGAGCCTTGAAACATTCCAGTGCCTGGAAGTTCCTGCTCCAACCTACTCACACAGAGGGCTCCTTTTAATTCCCAGCTTCAGTGATGGACAGACAGGCTTTCCCTGACCGCCCCATTCCAGGTATATATTTCTTGCTTGTTCTGTATCACAGCACTCTGTTCGCCACCTTCACAGCACTTTCCTGACTTTGTGAGATGTAGTTGTATATTGGTTTTACCAGAAAAATAGCCATTTCTCATCCCCAACAAGATCCAAGGCCTTTTAGAATAGGAATCACTTGGGTTCCTCTCACCCTAGAACACATGTGTCAAACACAAGGCCCGCGGGCCAAATCCGTCCCGCCAGGCCTTGCAATGTGGCCCGCACCGCGCTGTCATCACTGCACTCCGCTGCGTTTCCATCACAATGACAGTTTATGACTGTTCAGTAAACCATTTGGCTCGCGATTTAGGCTGGATTTTAGATTTTGGCCCCTTCTCTGATTGAGTTCGACACCCCTACCCTAGAAGCTCAGCACCCAGCCGAATGGCCACACAGTAAAAATTTGTGGAATAATTGAGCAGATAGAAAAATGGACGAGTGACAGAGGACATTTCCTAATAGATTTATTCCACAATAAATAAAGTTGATTGAGAAGTATGGGTTAGGTTTGGGGAGTTACAATAAAGGAATATGAAAAGGGTGAATATTAGTCACTATCTGCTCTGATTAGAGATAATATAAACAATCAGTTATCCAAAACAGTTTGTGAATCCAGAAAATTTGGTGCCTTGATGAGTTAGTTGCAAAGGGAAACAAAAAGGAGGTCTGCAAAAACTTGACTTTCAAAGAATTTAGTTTTTAACAGTGAAGACAGAAGGACATATCTGCGATGACGCGAGAACATTGTGAGGCCACTTTTTTCTTTCTTCTGCAAACATGGAATGATTCCAGCAAGAAGTGAGGTTGGAGGGTCAGGCCTGGCTGTCAGCATGGGATCAGTGTGTGTGGCACAGGCTCTGAGAGCAGCAGTGATTGAAAAGAAGGAATGATTGTTAGGGGTGCACAGGCCAGGAAAACCTCATGGAGAGCTGGGGTTTGCACTGAGCCTAAAAAAAAAAAAAAAAAAAAAAAAAAAAAAAAAAAAAAAAAAAAAAAAAAAA